AAGCTTTAATTGATCGTTTTCTGAGGTCAGAATTATTATATATTATAGGTCCAACAAGTTCTCCAACTCATACGACCAAATGGGTCGATTGTTCAAGCGCTTAATACGACCTATAATTACGTTTTAAAGTTGTCGGCCTCTAGTGCTCCCGTTGAATGCAAACGTTACAGATGGTTGTTTATTCACAAATAACCCTCTCTGTAAAATCCTAAATTGTAGGATAGTTTGGCCATTAAAACGCTTTATGATTAGATTTCTAGCGAGAAGTATATATTGTACTTTTAGAATCCACGTCCAGTCGATATGTAGGATCTATAGTTTGATCAGGGGCGGATCTACCGGGGTGGCATGGGGTGGCAGCCGCCTCCCTAAAAAATAGCCTTGCCACCCTGGCTGCCACCCCAGTTTTGGCATCTTTGTTTTGAAAGAAAAGTTGTGGCTCATCGGACATTTATGAGAGAAAATCTCGAATGTCCGAGTGCAAGTGAATACAGCACAAGACGAGAGTCTTGTAACCCCTCCCCCGGCCCTGGCGCGAGCTTGGAAATAATATGATTGGCGATGATTTCATTTCAACCGGACGGACCGGACGGCGCATTACGAGAACCATTCGGACCCAAGTAGACGGAAGGAATGAGGTATTTGCGGTCTACAATGACAGAGAAGAGACTGTCAAGTTTGGCTGTACTCAGCATAGATATATATAAACACTAGATGACTCTCCCGCGCTGCTGGCCAATGGAGACAGACGTTGCCACATGGCGGCCATCTTGCCACAGGCAGCTCGCTCACTCATAACATTATGTCTACGGTGCTCTATTGAAATAACCGTAGATTGCTCCATTTTCAACCAATTTTCAAACGGTTTGGTTTGTTATAAACATCAAAGATGTAGTTATGATACTTGATAATGATAATTATAATCATTAACTTTTTTTTCAACATGTCTTGTTGTCTCCTGTATCATAGCCATGCTAATAACATTTATAATAAACCAAACCGTTTGTAAATCAGTCAAGATTTCAGCGAGTTAAGAGTATTTTTGTGCAGATCACTCACCTTACAACAGCTGTAGCTGTTGACTGTGGCAAGATGGTGAGCTACGCTGGGGACTCCCCCTTCAGCCATCTAGTGTTTATATATATATCTATGGCACTCAGCATTGAATCAAAACGCACTAAAGCTTTAGATCTTAATCAGTTTGTGAGGCGTTTTGCTGAACAAGATGGAAATCGCCGCATTCAGCTGTTATAGGCAACTTGATGCTCTGCTCACGGGTGAGCATAACAAACTGTTAAGATGATCACCTTATGTGTGTAAATATATGTTTTTCTTTGTGGGGGTCTGCCCCCAAAAAACAGTTTCAAGTCCTGAGAAAGTCAAATAAGACGGTGTGTAAAACTTCACTGCCCAGCCAACAGAAAGTAACCACTGTGATTTAACTAGGCCAGTAGGATAATAACTGCAGCGATGTTTATGTTTTAGCTGAATACACGTTTTTTAACCCTAACTGATGCAGTTAGTCACTTCTTTAATGTTTGTTCTTTCTGATGTAAAGTCAAGGTTGTAACTGTTTACAGTAAAGTCGTGGGGCGCTGAACTGTTCCTTTGAATCTTTTGAATTTTGATACATGATAGTAATTACTTGTCTTTCAAATTTGAAGGAGGGTGAGCAAGCATCTTGAGGAACATTCATCATTATCTCCTCCAAAAAATATAGTTTATTCAATAATAAATTAATATGTGAATCATAAAAGTGATTGACAGCTGATAGGAATAATATGATTGTTAATAGTATCATATTCATTCAGACAAACATCGATGAGACAGTTAATTCATGTACTTATTGCAGCAGTCCGCATAGATTTGGTTCCCCTGCTGGTCTAAGAGTGAAACAAACTCATTCAGTTATTGTTCAGTTAAAATTCATTAAATTATGTCTGCCACCTTATATATTTATATTTAAGGCTTTACTGATGTGCCACATTAATGTCACCTAATGTTAGTGAGTTAAAATATTAATATTGTGGCTTTCCAAGTTAACATTGATTGATATGACTGCGATTAAATCAGCATACACTTCTGCCAGGGGATTCCACCCCTCAAAATCTCCTGCCACCCTCTGGCCACCCCATGAATATTTGTCTAGATCCGCCCCTGAGTTTGATAGATATTACGAAGATGATTTGAGGTTTCGTCAGGAGAACGTGTATATGCGGCAAGCTTCCATGTAAAGTTACGGGTTGAAAACAGTATTTCCGGTCTCGACGTTTTCATAATAAAACCAATGATCAAATGATTTAACAGTGATATCTGCAGTACTCATCCACTAAAAAACATCAGTTTATCCTAGTTAATTATACGACATTAATTGGTTTAAATTGTGTACAATGCTTTTGTGTTTTTCCCATAGGTTTTTCTCTTTCGATTCTGAGAGACACATTTCTTTTTTCAGAGGTTTTGGTAGGCTAAAATCACGCCGCAGTGCACGTTGGGATATGGTGTTTATGTGATATGAAATCGGAAAACATTTGAAAAAATAATAATAATACTTTATTCCGAGTGTTCTTGCTTTTCTCTTTGAAAGTCATCACATAACGGCATTGTAATACACGGTTCGGCTGCATTAAATATTACAGACCTGCCGTAGATATTTATTTATAGAGCCCTGATCAGAAGACCTTTTGACAAACTGGATGAGATGCCGCCAAAACTGAATACGTGACGTGGACCATAAATATATCAACAATTAAACAACATCTTCCATTTCTTTTCACACAATACGTCTCCTTGCAGTATCAACACTAATTCGGCTGACTTTTATATTTGATCCAATTAGTAGATAGTCTATATTTACACCATAACGGTGCACAGCTGATAGAAAGGGACTTTTTTGTAGTTTTTAAAGATATTACTGATTTTCTGAACTACCTTTCCAACTCCTCATGCAGTTGACTGTTACAGGTCTATACAGGTTCATGGTACAATGCATAAGCTTCACATCGAGAGACTGAAACTGTATTTTCCTTTACCGTTCTGTTTTAATTTCACAAGTGAATAGTCATATTATGTTTGATATTATTATGTTTTATTAACTAGACCACTGGTCTAAACCGCACCTCCTAGTGGTTAAAGCACGTTATTGAATTTCGTTGTTGAATAAGTTATATTTGATGAAAACATTTCATTATTAAAAGTAGCCTACATACAAAATAGGGGTCAAAGATAGAAATATAGAATATAAAATATCAAGAAGATACTGTAGTGATCTCTACAATAAAACAGTTTAGTGCAGGACGTCCAAAGATATTAACAGGAGGAGGTGCAAAACAGACAAACTGATAAGGCTGAATTTTACTCAGGTGTAACTAAAGTTTGATTTAAGGGTTGTTTATATTTCACATCATTAATCAGAATCTGCAAAGTAACAAAAATAAATGTAGTAGAGTAGAAATACCAGGTTAACCTCTGAATTGTAGTGGAGTGTCTAAACTCCGAAAGAACAATTTGTTTCTCCGAATCGAAGGTTAAAAACACAAAAGCATTGTACACAATTTAAACCAATCAATATTGTGTAATTAACAAGGATAAACTGATGTTTTTTAGTGGATGAGTAATGGAGATATCACTGTGTAATCATTTGACAGTGTGGGGAATACTTCCGGTTTTATTATGAAAACTTCGAGACCGGAAATACTGTTTTCACCCATGCTAACTTTACATGGAAGCTGCCCCATATACAGTACACGTTCTCCTGGCGAGACCTCAAATCATCTTCGTATATCTATCAAACTGTAGATCCTACACATCCACTGGACGTAGATTATAAAAGTACAATATACACTTCTCGTCAGAAATCGAATCAAAAAGCATTTTAATGGCCAAACTATTCCACAATTTAGGATTTTCCAGAGAGGGTTATTTGTGAATAAACGACCCTCCGGAGCATTTGCGATCGACAGGAGCATGTTGTTTCTTATACGACCACTAGAGGTGCTACACTTTAAAACGTGACTCTGGGTCATATTTAGCTGCTGAACAATCGACCTATATGGTCGTTTTTTGTAGGAGGACAGGTTGTATAGGTCTTATGAAGTCTGAGGGGATTCTGGCTGAAAGGTCAGGCATTTTATTTCTCATTAGACTACAGACTTAAATAGACTAAAGGTTGCTCGACAAAGACATTTTTAGCCAACTAACGTTTTGGCGACTATATGGTATGCTATATATGGTAGCTAGTAAACACAGACAAATATATACACATATTATATGTGTATATACATATAATATATATCCGCTCCCTTCACTGGCTTCCGGTAACTGCTAGAATCCACTTCAAGACACTGGTACTTGCTTACCATGCTGCGAATGGATCTGGCCCTTCCTACATCCAGGACATGGTTAAACCGTACACCCCAGCGCGTGCACTACGCTCTGCATCAGCCAAACGACTCGCTGCGCCCTCGCTGCGAGGGGGACCCAAGTTTCCATCGGCGAAAACACGTGGGTTTGCTGTCCTGGCTCCAAGATGGTGGAATGAGCTCCCCATTGACATCAGGACAGCAGATAGCTTGCACATCTTCCGGCGCAAACTGAAAACTCATCTCTTTCGACTCCACTTCGAGCGTTAGAACTATTAACGAAGCACTTTTATACTAATAAAGGACTGGCTTACCTAAAGCCAGTTGAGTAGCACTTGAAATGTTTGGCTCTATGAAACCTGATGTACTTATATGATTCTGTTTTCTTCAAGGTTGTGTCTTCCTGGTCGAATGTACTTATTGTAAGTCGCTTTGGATAAAAGCGTCAGCTAAATGCAATGTAATGTAATATATTTCAGTTGAGAGGGACAGATTCAGATCTTTTTTATATAGAGACTGTTTTGGGCTTGCAGACGACAATCCCACGACTCCATCTGGTGTTCCAGTGCTGGACAGAAGAAACCAAACAACAACCTCTGTTGTTTACTGATGGCTCAACATGTCTTATTTGTCTTCTAGGAAGTGAATGGAGCTACGTCATCATATCTACAGTGTGCTCTCTGCCAAGCGAGCAGATTGAGGTAGAACAGGACGGAGGTTGGCTGTCCAGACATCTGGGCTTTGTGGCCGATCCCAACCAGATAAATGTGGGCATCACCAGGGCCAAGGAGGGACTGTGCATCATTGGTAAGTCAAAGATAAGATAAGAAATAAGTTAAGATATACTTTATTGATCCCGAGTTGGGAAATGTTTTCGTTACAGCAGCATGTTAAAACAAGGCATTGCACATAATTAGAAATGAAAAAGACTAGAAATTAAACACATATCAAATATGAACTAGAAATGGCATATTAAATTAAATGTAGAATGTACAGTCCAAGTTTCTGCTACTCATGAATTAATTGTACTCCCTAAAGCTCCTCTGAAGCTTCTTAACTCCCATGTGTCCTCTCAAAGGGAACCAGGAGCTGCTGAACTGCGGTCAGACTTGGAAAAAGCTCCTGGACCATTTCAAGCTTCACAATGCAGTGACGGACGCAGACAAGATCTCAGTGTTGGCTTCCACATAGCTGAAGGCATCTGTCCTCTGTCTGTGCAAGCAGCGCAACAGAGCGCTGCAACAGCACAGCTTCACAAATATGTTTTTTCTTAAATGTTGCAGCAACTTTTTATAGCCTATTCTGAACTTTTAACAAGTTTTTTTGGGCTCTGATTTACATAACGTTTTTTCTTCAACGTGTACGTGTAAAACTTATTTTATCAACTTTATCTATTTTTTTATTTTTAGGTGTGGCAATTTAATTTTCAAGTTCAAAGACTAGTCAGTTGTTGTTGTTTTTTTGTTTTTCCTTTTGTTACTTCAATGAAAGAAAGTGCATCTAAGTAACATTCCAGGCTACAATACCACATGGCATGCTAATGTTGACTCTGGGCAGAATGCAGAGTTCAGGGGCCTCATTTATAAAGGGATATACGCTCAAAAAATGGCGTACGCCAGTTTCTACGCAATGTTTGCGATTTATAAAATACTAACTTGACGGGAAAACGTGCGGTCCTCCACGCAAACTCTAACCCATGCGTACGCACTAAGCACAACAACGGGAGAGACGAGAAACTGCGACACCGTTGGCAGAAGGAAGAATGGAGAGAAATGTGTGGAAATAATACCATAAACAAAATGTTACCTCTCATTTATCATATAGGAAGAATTCATTTTCAAACATTGATTAAAGCCAATCTTAAAATGATTTAACAAACGCCTGTTTGAGACTCCTCAGTGCACACAAAAACATCACCTGGAGAAATAAATAAATACGGATATGTTATTTAAAACCACCTCAAATATGTTGTGTTAATGTTATGACATGTTTTCTCATAAATGATGCGGTTTTGCATTTCTATAGGTTGTACGAGCATGGTTTTATATACTATCATGTTTAATCATGTTTTATGCCGTTTGCTAAGACTTGATAAGTCGCTCATAAAACACAGGTATGGAAACTAAGAACACCATATGTGGTAAATTGTACAGTAATATAACACAACACATTAGTTGTATTTCCTTTAACTGGTGGATATAGAGTTGCTGCAGTGGAGACGCTGCGCACAGCTGATCGACAGCTGGGACACAAACCACCAAATACGAAAACATAATTCAGATCCAGTCGTCATGACTCCACTCCGGAGGGATTCCCCGATCACTTCTTACAGTCTCTCATCAAGGGGGTGTCTCCTGTCTCCGGTACAAACACATTGCCTGAGGAAGGCTATGTGTATTTATTTTGTCATTAGACTTTTTCGGACCACTTATCTATTTATTTTGGTGACGATCCGTCCTCCATGCTGCTGCTCTGGTTCAAACGGCATCCACCAAACAATATGATTTATCTCGACCTCCCCAAAATAACCTAAATCTGACACGGTGTGAGATGTCTTTTTTAGCTGTTCTGTCGTAATTTCCTGCGATCTTCTTCATAAAGTCAGTCAGAATGAATGGGCGTTTCTTTGACTATTTATAGGCAAATATGGGCGTTACGTGAAGCCCGCAAAAGCTGCACCGCATTTCGAGTCGGTTGTGATTTATAAAGGGAAACCGGCGTAGGAAGTGCTGTACGCACTTTCCTCGCCGGTACGCAATGTTTGGTGAATCGGAAAATGTCGGAAAATGTATGTACCTATTTTTTGGATTTCTACTACGTAAGCAACCTTCCCACGTGAATCCTACGCACAGCGTTATAAATGAGGCCCCTGGTCATGTCAGGTGGATCTTTTAATGAATATGCAGGTTTCAATTGTGTTCCACTCTATTAACCACGGTAAAATCATTGTTCCTGTCAAGAGAGTTGACATTTATGTTATATTGCTGGTAAGTCCTATCACTGCCTCATCATTCAGGGAGAGTAGTCTGTCGTTTTTTTTTACGTTAGAACTTCTAATATTGTTTTTGTTACTTCAGATATTGTATATTCAAGGGGTAAGCTTTGGCAACACAAAAGTGAACTAAACATTTTCATAGCTATATTTTTTCATAGCTATGTTGCAAAAGAGCTATTTTTTTACTTTTACATTTTAAATATAAAATGCTATGTTGACTTTAAAGTTCATTTTTAGGAAATTATAGATTTTGTAAAATAATCAGTTTCTCTTTAAGACTTTTACTACAGTGATATGAGTGTAAAAATGTAAAAACAACATTAAAACATTTTCTATTCAGAATGTATCGTGTTTTTTTTCAGATATTCAGAGCCATAAAGGTCCATCTGATCTGATACCAAGTTGTATACCAGTTACAACCGTAAGCGACCTGTTATCATTCAGGAAACGACAGCGAAGTATCTGGGGTGTTTTCTGGCATTTATTCTGAAAATGAACACAACATTCTCTTTACATCCGCGTTGCATGTCACATCTCCACATAACTGCTCACGTCACTGTCACTAGTATTTATGTATACATACTAGGGCTGTACCCGAATATTTGTTCGTTGGAGTACTATTCGGGTTTCAATGTCGTTATTCGGATATTCGTTTTGTTTGTTTTTTCTCAAATTGAATTTATTGAAAACTCCAATATCAACGTAAGAGCTTGTGCCTCTTCGGGGGGTGCTAACACTTAACCATAAACGTTATTGTTTACTTTCTCCGTCTTTATATTATGTAGATATTACTTTTCTCCGTTAATCTCCGTCACGTTGTTTCCAAAGCAACAACAACTTCCTGTCAACAGCGCTACCTCTCCTTCAAAATAAAAGCATGTCAAGCCAAATTACACTTAAGACATTTACAACTGCAACGAAAGTAACAAACACAATGCGATATCCTTTTCAATTTCAAAGAACACAAATTGGGTTACATTAAAAAATAACTCTAAAACAACAATACTGTAGAATAACTAAATTAATGCCGTGAATACACCGAAATACGCGTGTTGAAGCGGTTTGCGCGGGCCGAATATTCATAGTACCCCTCACTGCAGTGCCCAGTACCTCAAGATGGGCGGGAGCTCAACATGGGCGGAGCCTCAACGCCCCTCCTTCTCAACCTTTGAGGCACGTGACGGGACGTAGTAGCTACCCCTCACTGCAGTGCGCAGTACCTCAAGATGGGCGGGAGCTCAAGATGGGCGGAGCCTCAACGCCCCTCCTTCTCAACCTTTGAGGCACGTGACGGGACGGCCCCTCCTTCTCAACCTTTGAGGCACGTGACGTCCCGACTCCCGTGTTGTGTACTTACCCAGTCTGTGGTTATTTAAACACTCCCTGATAAACGTTATTTCAGCGTCAATAAATCAGTGTTAATCCCAGTGTGTTTAGTGTGCAACATCACATGTCATTTAATTTCACCTTCAATTCACGGCTTTCAAAACGTTAGCCACATGCTAATGCTAACCGGAAATGACGAATTTTCAGAATAAAAGTGTTAAATTAATAGTTAGTGTGAACTTCCGTTTTTTTCAGAATAAAAAATCTGTGAAGCTCGTCACGTGCCTCAAAGGTTGAGAAGGAGGGGACGTCCCGTCACGTGCCTCAAAGGTTGAGAAGGAGGGGCGTTGATGCTCCACCCATGTTGAGCTCCCGCCCATCTTGAGGTACTGCGCACTGCAGTGAGGGGCTTCTCGACGGGACGGCCCCTCCTTCTCAACCTTTGAGGCACGTGACGTCCCGACTCCCGTGTTGTGTATTTACCCAGTCTGTGGTTATTTAAACATTCCCTGATAAACGTTATTTCAGCGTCAATAAATGAGTGTTAATCCCAGTGTGTTTAGTGTGCAACATCACATGTCATTTGATTTCACCTTCAATTCACGGTTTTCAAAACGTTAGCCACATGCTAATGCTAACCGGAAATGACGAATTTTCTGAATAAAAGTGTTAAATTAATAGTTAGTGTGAACTTCCGTTTTTTTCTGAATAAAACTGCTTTTAATTAAAACCCTGTATTTAATTTAAATTACGTCATATCAACATTGATTTTAATTTCTTACAGTAGGAGAGGTTTTGGGGGTTTAGGTTTGGGAGGGAGGAAGGAAGATTAGGATTAGGTAAAAAGGTAGGGAGTGGTTAGGATGGGGGGAAGGGAAGGGTTAGATTGAAGGGAGCGAAGAGAACTGCTACCCGGGAATCTATGGCGTTATATTTGTGCCTCTATCCTGAGCACGCAATGAAACATGTTAAGCATAGAAAATGCTATTGAGCGCGCACTTGAACATTTTTGAGCACATAGAAATATATTTTCTCTCATAAAACTCCTGCTCCGTGCGCAAGCAGACCGCTGCACGCGCTCTCTCTCCCCCGCTCGCTCGACCTCTCCAGCCTGTGCGCGCTCAGCTTTGCCTGCGCTCGCTCAAGTTGTCACAGCGTTACAAATGTACCACAAAACCAACCAATCGGAGAACTCGAGAAGGTCAATTCTGATTGGCTGGTCGTCTCCAATCATATCTTCTATCTGAGATGAGAGACGGATTTTCGGTTGCCATCAGGCTGTTGACGTTCTTATTACACATCCATCGTTGACATTTACAGGAGTATTGACGAGATCGATAAGATCGATAAGATCGATAAGATCGACAAGATCGACTAGATACTGCTAATCCTATCACCACTACAAGCAACAGTTACAAGCTACAAAACAGCCACAAGCTACGCTACAAGCCACAAGCTACGCTAGCCGCAAGCTAGTCTGCACAAGCTAAGCTACAAGCTACGCTGAAAACTGTAAGTAAGCCACAGAACACCAAGAGAAGACACCATGCCTGGAGATCAGCTGTGGCTGAACCACATCTAACCAAGCCCTGTAACTGACTGCCTTGTGGACACGATAAGAAGAAGATTTACAGGACATGACAGACTCGAATGAAGAGAATAGCACTACACAGTGTCAGGTGAGTTATACATTTCTAGTTTTCTGATATCACGTTATTGTTTGCAATGCCTGAGTTTGCTAGCCGGCAACATAGCTACAGGGGTAGTTTAAGCAAACCGCTAACAAACCGTAGCCTACATGTACATGAACCCTTCTGAGGTATTGATTACTTGCTGTAAGCATTAGAGGTGGCAGAATGACAAAACATGTTTTTCTCTGTATCACAATTTTGGGTTGACCAGAACCTGGACCAACTTCTGTTTCCTGTTCTACAATGGACATAGAGCTTGCGTTAATTTTCAACCGGACAACTAAACAGATTAGGCTAGAATACCGGAAAAGTTAGCAACACACGTTATCCATGAACAGCCTATTAATCCAACGTTGTGGAATTAGAGAAAAGGGGCTTCTTAACGTGCTTTTATCCGGGGTGGAGGGAGTTACATATTAGTTAAATACAACATTGGGGCGTGTGATTGATATGGATTTAGAGTGGATATTTGAGACTTCTAAACAGTAAACAAAAACGTAACTTATGGGTGAGTGTTTTTATCACAGCCATATTGTCCTTGTGATTCTGTTGATTATTACCTGTCCGTATTATGTTGCAGCTCAGCTGATGTTGGATTGATGGCAAAGGGAGAGGGACTTAAGTGAGAGTGAAAACACAAGGTAAGTTTAAAATAGGTCAGCAATTTCCCATCCTATAGGTTGCTAGATGTATCTAACCCTTTCTCCTGTCTTTGTCTCCCTCTTTCAGCACAAGAACCCCAGGGGGATTCAATGGAGCCTGAATACCCACTGAGACCCCAGAGATGGGGACTCGAGTTTGTGACTCGGACTCGAGTCGCACTTAAGTCGCACACACAGAGACTTCAGACTTGACTTGGACTCCTGCTCAAAAGACTTCGCACTCGACTTGGACTCGTGTTTTGGGACTCGTGAACAATCATTGTGTTTTCTATTTTTGGCGTATTAAAGGTGGGGTAGGTAAGTTTGAGAAACCGGCTCGAGATCGCTAGAATTTGAAAATACACAACCGGAGAAAATCTGCCACTTCCTCACAGAGCCCCTCCTCCAACACACACGAACGCGCACATGACCAATGAGGGCACGAGATAAGTTTGTGCCCCGATGGGAGGCTGACGGGCAGGTAGGCCATCCAGTTACTTTAGCCGGGCCGGCTATCGGGATGTTAAGAGCATTCCATGGAATATAACAAAAAGTGTATCTCGAGCCGGTTTCTCAAACTTACCTACCCCACCTTTAACATTAACATTAACATCATGGTAACACCATGGCGACCGGCGGCACACCTGCAGCTGTACCGCTTGTAATTAGGTTCAACTATAAAAACTTCGAACAAAACGCCGGCGGCACCAACAAAAGGAGCGCACACTGCAAAGTCTGCAATATTAAAATCAAGGATGCTGGTGCAACAATGTCAAATTTCATCAGGCACTTGAAAACTCACCCGGAGAGGTCAGTCCACATTAACGCATATGGACGGTTAGCAAACATGTTTAGCTCAGCATCAGCTATGTAATGTTAACTTAGCTTGCTACTAGCTTTGTAACTGAATATTTGAAAAGATGAGTGAATGTTTGCTTGTCACACTTGTTTGCGTTGAGTGGCGTTGACATCCAACTCTTGACATGACATAAAAAAGGTCGGTAACGTTAATCATTACGTTCCGCTGCCACCATCTACTGGCTAACGTTAAACGTAGAAAAATACATAGTTACATACATAAATACATCTGTCGGTTTATAGGCAGGTTACAGGTTTATTGTTGACCACGTAACGTTAATGTTACAGGTTTATCAGGTTACCATTACACTGGGTTTGAGTGAGAGGATAGAGGAATATGTTTATTTATAGTAGACTTAAAAGATGTCATTAGAGACCCAGTGTAATTAAACAATACGGTTGCAGAGGTCACATTTTAACATTTTTGTCCACTGGCCAAATGGCTAGCCTAGTGAATGTTGAAATGTTACCAGCCACTCAATAGATTGCCATTGTTATTTGTGGCTGGTGCGTGCAACATACAGTACCAGCCACTTGCATGATTTACCAGCATTTGGCTGGTAAATGATGTTAATGGTAGATATCTCTTTTGGAACAGGTCATGTTTTAATATCACCAGTTCAGTATATTTCAGATAATATTGCAGCAATAGTTTTTTAGTTGCAAATGGCACAGAACAAATGTTTACTTTGAAGTACTTTTAACACAGTTTCCCTGCGGGGGATTAATAAAGTATTTGTGATACTGATTTCTGATTCTGAAGTGTTTTGCTTATAAGTTGTTTGCATTTAGCTAAAGTGTGATGTTTGTCCTCATATTGCATTGCAATAGCCTGTTTAAAGTGATCATATAACAAACAACTAATCAGTACTGATACTGTATGCTAATAGATATAGGAGTGATAATAATACAGTAAATGCTTTGAATTTCTTAGATATAGCTGTGCAGTATTCTTAACAGACTGGATAGCAGCAGACAATAGAAGGCTTATTACAACCAGAAGAGACATGAGACTTTTATTTTTTAGAGACTTGAGACTTGACTTGGACTCGTGAACAAAGACTTGAGACTTGATCAAGTCTCACCCCACAAAGACTTGAGACTTGACTTGGACTCGTGACCAAAGACTTGAGACTTGACTTGGACTTGCAAAAAAAGACTTGTGAACATCTCTGTGAGACCCTCACCCTGCACCTGAGTCTCAGCTCTCAGAGCTTTGCAAGCCTCTCCCTGTTCCTTATTTTTGATTAAACAGACGTTAAGCTTCACAATGGTGTGGTCTTTGTTTAGTGAAAAATATGATTACCTCACATGTTGTGTTGCTGTTGTTTTTTGTGATAGTTAAATTGCTCCTGCTGACTTGAGCCAGCCATTCTTTCCTCCTCTCTGTGTCAGTGGGGAAACCTTACATTCATACTCCTTTCTCTGAGCGCTTGGAGCAGCACAGCAAACCATGGGGGAGACGATATGCCAGGACAACACAGAGGAAAAGGCTCAGACAAACTGCATGCATGCTATTCAATGTGTATTGAATTCCATTTATTTACAATGGATGTTCCTAAAACAACACATGTATCATCATGCTGCTGCTGCTGCTGCTAGTGCTTTGACTCATTGTGCTGTCAGTTGACAATCATTGATAGGCACCTGTGGGTCTCCTGTCCTTTCTGAAAGTCATAAAGATTACATTAGTACTTTAGATTACATGTGTCCTCAATTACCAGGGGATTACTGAAACCACCATGAATTAAAGAAATGGTAGAAATTATTCTAATCTGAATTTTGAAACCTTCCCTCCCTCTAAATATATCAATAAACATTAGGATGTGATGCTCCTGACTACCATACAGGTTTAAGAAGATAATATTTGTTTTAAAGAATTCAAAGCAATAAACAACAGCAACAGGCTCTGTAACAAAGGCAACGTTAGCCTAACATGTGTTAACAGATAAGATAGCTGTTCACACTATGTATATTTTCTACTTTTTGTAATGCTATGTTATTTCTATTTAAGATGTTTACATTTTCGATTGTTTAATTCTAGTCTTTTAACTGTCTAATGTACAATGCCTTGTCTTTTGCTGCTGCAGCGTAAACATTTCCCCAATTGGTATCAATAAAGTACTTCTTATCTTATCTTAATCCTCAAATATTAGCACATTTTACTTTAAAAAAAACAAAACACATTGATGTAACTACATACACATATCGATATGTTGTATACATATTACAAATCAAAACCTTTATTGACCACTAATTAGCAAAAATTGCATTTCTATCCTATTATTAATGTATTCAAATCTTGATTCAAATGGCCCGCCACGAACTTCCGGGAACTTTCTGAGTCTCTCTGAACCACGTGACGATCAAGCATTTTGGACTTCCGCTGTCGCAACTCTTCTCTCTACATGGCGCTGGACCAGCCAATCAGAATTGACCTTCTCGAGTTCACCGATTGGTTGGTTTTGTGGCACATTTGTAACAATTTGAGCGAGCGCAGGCAAAGCTGAACGCGCACAGGCTGGAGAGGGAGAGAGAGCGCGGTGCAGCGGTCTGCTTGCGCAGGGAGCAGGAGTTTTATGAGAGAAAATATATTTCTCTGTGCTCAAAAATATTCAAGTGCGCGCTCAATAGCATTTTCTATGCTCAACATGTTTCATTGCATGCTCAGGATAGAGGCACAAATATAACACCATAGAACAGGATGCAACGCGTCATCTGTGAAGCTCGTCACGTGCCTCAAAGGTTGAGAAGGAGGGGCCGTCCCGTCACGTGCCTCAAATGTTGAGAAGGAGGGGCGTTGAGGCTCCACCCATGTTGAGCTCCCGCCCATGTTGAGGTACTGCGCACTGCAGTGAGGGGCTTCTCGAATATTCGGACAAAGTAAAGATTGAAGTGTATGTTTAAATGTTAGCACCCCCCGAAGAGGCTCAAGCTCTTACGTTGAGTCTGGAGTTTCAATACATTCGGAAATGTGGCCGTGTAAAATGTCCTCTTGGGTTGTAGTGGAATACATCAAGGATTCATAAAAAGTATTATACATAGTGCGCACTATAACCACACAAACCTAAAGGGACTTTTGGGGCTCAATAAAACAACTCAATTGCAGCGTGTGGCCTAAATGCCAACGTATTCGATATTTCAGGTCTTATTTTGAAGGTCTTCACCGGAAGGTCTGTTTTTTTCATCTCACTTCTCCGTCACTTCCTCTCTTCTTCCTTTAACCTCCACAGCTGAGCAGCTCTCTCCTATTTCCTCTGAGGGACAGCATGGCTAGTGCTGCTGTTGACAATATGTCGACTCTTTTATACTTAATGTTTGAATCGTAAAGGCTTCGTATGGATACTGTTGGTGGGGATAACTGGCGGAGACGCACGAGGAGCGCGCGAGCCTGCTCCAAGCCAACCAGAGCGCGAGCTGACGAGTCCAATGTGCTGCGGTGTCTGAGTGTGGGGAACACGGAAGAAGGCCATGACATGGAGGAGGACATCGGCCTCAAGCAGGACAGTCTGGAGGGACGAGTCATGTCGCCCCGCTACAGCCTGCTTCGGGAGGTGGGCAGGGGCACCTACGGCGTGGTGTTTGAAGCGGTGGCCCGGAGGTCCGGGGCCAAAGTGGCCGTGAAGAAGCTGAGATGCGACGCGCCGGAAAACGTGGAGCTCGCCTTGCAGGAGTTCTGGGCCCTGGCAAGCCTGGAGAAACGGCATGAAAACGTGGTGCAGCTGGAAGAGTGTGTGCTGCAGAGGAACGGCATGGCCCAGAAGATGAGTCACGGGAACAAACGGTCCAAACAGTACCTGCGTCTGGTGGAGACTTCTCTGAAAGGTGAGGCTTCTTACATTACAGTGAGCTGTGGGAAGAATGTGCTGCCTTCAGTTTAGAATTGAAGGTAATGACATTACCTTAATACTTACGAAACTAACCTAAGCTGTAATGGTATAAGGGTTACATTTAAAATCACAAGTTGTGTGTATTGCAGTTCTGAATCTTACCCTGCAGGAGATTGTTGTTGTCGCCATGACATAGTCGTTGGGGGTTGGGTAGTTTTGAGAGAGCTCTCACTAAAATGGAGTCTGCTGTGTTGGCTGTTCAGAGGTGTTTTACACTTTCCTCCTATAGTTTTCATTTTGTGTTCTCATGTGCTGTGTGCTGGTTCCCTTATGTGTCTATTGCAAGTTGTGTGGCCTCTGTGTGTTTGCAGCTGTGTGAAGATATACCTCCTTTTTAAATGATGTGATCTGTTCACATCAAATAACCAAATACCAGTATTGTTTTAGTAATAAGTATACAGTCCATGAATATTGGGTCCACATCAGTAATATTACAGTGGCTCAACAGTTTTAGTTTTTAACTCTTGCTGGCACATTTGCTGCAAATCAAAATACACCAAAGCATGTTGGAGATGTAGAGATACCAATAAATATAACTACACATGAATAACCTCTTCAAGAAATACTCTGTAGTAAAATCCAGTGAATGAAAACATTACGTTCCGAAAGTTAGGGTGCACAATACCCATTCACTCTTTCAAATTATGCAAATACAGGTATTTTGGTAAAACCCAAATACATCTGTAGCTGATGGCCAAATGTATTTTCTAAATGTAAATAATATATCTGTATTTTCATTTATTCCTTTTTTTACTTGACACACGTCGCTATTTGGAGTAGTGTGCATCAATGTGAAATGGTTAAATGACTGAGTCGCATGTGTTGCAGGTGAGCGAGTGCTCGGTCCTTCAGAGGAGCCGTGCTACCTCTGGTTCGTCATGGAGTTCTGTGAAGGCGGCGACCTCAACCAGTTCATCCTGTCCCGGAGGCCCAACCCGCTGACCAACAACAGCTTTATGCTCCAGCTGACCAGCGCCGTTGCTTTCTTGCATGAAAACAACATTGTCCACAGAGACCTCAAACCTGACAACATCCTCATCTCAGAGAGATCAGGGACTCCAGTTCTCAAGGTGGCCGACTTTGGCCTGAGTAAAGTCTGCGCTGGTATAGGAAACACAAACGTTGGCAAAGAAGGCGAAGACAAGAACAAAAACATTAACGTGAACAAGTTTTGGTTGTCCTCTGCGTGCGGCTCAGACTTCTTCATGGCTCCAGAGGTGTGGGAGGGCCACTACACGGCCAAGGCTGACATATTTGCCCTAGGCATCATCATCTGGGCCATGCTGGAAAGAATTACCTTCATTGATGCGGAGTCTAAGCGGGAGCTGCTGGGTACCTATGTGAGGCAGGGAGTGGACATTGTGCCGGTGGGTGAGGCACTGCTAGAGAATCCAAAGATGGTACTGAACATCCCACAGAAACGCAGGTCGTGCATGTCTGACGGAGTGAGGAAGCTGCTGCAGGAAATGCTCGCCGTCAACCCTCAGGACCGGCCCGATGCGGTCCAGCTGCAGACCCGAATGGACCAGGTCACCTAGGTGTGCTGCGTGACCTTCAACCTGATAGATTTACAGGTACTTATGCCTCTTCATATGATTACGTTATGAATTATTTTAGCTTTTCACCTTTTTATTGTGCTGTGTGTTCTGCTATCTGCCAGATGATGATGATGATGATGAATAACTGCCCCTCCATTTACGTTTTGAAATAATGTTAGTATATAGTTCTGTGACTAAAGATCTGAAATACTGTCCCTAACATATAATATAACTCTTTATGTTCTCATCTAATAGCAAATATAGATCGAAACACTTTTTTTGATCAATTTGAAACTCCTATAACCACTATGTAGAGTGCATTAAAGCCATTCTTCTCCCAGGGTAACTTAGACCCCATTTACACGCATACGAAATGCAAACGAACCGAATACGATATCAAAAAAGTCTTCCGTTCACACGAGACCGCTCGAAAGCGCTGGAGACATTGTAGTACATATGCCGGGCCTGTAAGTGGCGCTGTACTTCCGCACGAGATCGCTCGAAAGCGCTGGAGACGCTGTAGTACATACGCCGGGCCTGTAAGTGGCGCCACAAAATACACCAAAAGCAGCGAAGAAGACCCTTCTGTTTATACCTGCGGTGGATTTAGCAACATGTAGTTCATGTAATTCTCCATGTCCACTTGTCGCGTTTCCGTTATGGCCTCGTGTGAACGAACGGGCTATACGAAAGAGAAAAGTAGCGGATACAACCGTTTGCGTTCTCGTGTAAACAGCACCTTATTATTTCCCTGATAATGCTACAATGTAAACAAAAAATCTGTGTTGAATTTGTCAGGAGGAAAGCTTAGTTCTATTAGCGTGTGTTCAAGTTCCATTCAGTAAAAATGCCTTTTAGCCCCGAGTCAATTATAGCATTATCCTCATGCAAAGTGCAATCTCATAAAAACATTCTTTTAGTGTTTTTTACCGTGGTATCCAACACAAGTAGATGTGTTTCCCCTATATACAAATAGCGGCGGTGCAGCTATTTATTAGAATCTGGTGCTAGCTACGCTAACGGATATAAGAAGTAGATATTTGTCTACAACCAGGGTGGAGGAGAGCTCTCCTGTCAGACTGAGAGGCTCAGTGAGGTAAAGGACTCTCAGTGTTTAGATAGTTCATTTTAGTCGAAGTTATCTCAGTGAGTCTCAAACAAATGTGTTTCCAAATTATGTAAACACATATTTCCAAGGCACTCCTTGATAATTATTAGGATAAATAAAAACAGGTTTGAAATCATTCCAATGTATACTATAGGACAGTAAACCAAAAATATCGTTTAAAGTTGGAGAGATACAAAAATATGCATAAATAAATAAATGTTAACTGGTAAAATGAGATGTAAATGGACAACAAAAATAAAATAAGTTACATTTATTTGTTATTGGCTATGGTAGGTTATTGGTTATGTTCACATACTTATTTGATTATTAAAATGAAAACTGATCTTTTTCATATGGGTGTTTTAGAGTTGTACCCCCTAGATCAGGTCTCTAGTAATTGTGTGCTCAAAGTACACCAGATTGAAGCATTTTACTTTCAAATGTTCAAAAAAATCTTCTCGGGGGGGCACAACCCCCTAGAGGATGTGACGTCCACCCCCCAATTAAAAGATGTCCATACAATACTGATTACATTTGAAGCCATTTTGACGTATATGTCAATAAGTTTGTTTTTGTAGCGTATTTGTCTTTTGTAGAGATTTTTCATTTATTCTTTATATATAAAATCTCGCCTAGGGCAGCAAATTGGCTACAACCGGCCCTGGTACTAGGCCTCAAGAGCCTTTCCTGTGCTGGCAGACACATAGAAACAAATTGGCGGGGCGCACTTCGCACGTGCGCACACGCGCTCACATTATGCTGGGCCCAAGTGCCTTAGCACCGCTGCTGTGACTCCATCCTAGGGGAAACACTGTATACAGTAGAGACTCAACCATTAGCCTAATGTTCCCACCAACGTCTTTACTCAACTACTTACAAGAAACGTTGTCTAAGTTTGAGCATGCTTTTGGTGTTGGCTGAAGTTCCGGGTTTTATGAAGTTCCTGCTATGGATTCAAGATGTCAGGGACTAATGTAAACTTGATATTGACTTAGGTAGCATTTGTCAGGAGACTAATACTCCACATCTATGTCAGATTGTTTTTGTCCTTATGTCTGTTTTGATGGCTGGCAGTCAGTTTCAGTTTGAGGTGTTGATGAAGTGAATGTTAACAGTGAGGGTGGGGTTTGTTTAGTGTCTTGCCCATAACACGTTTTGTAACTTTAGTGACCGCCCTCAGTATATGTGCTCTTGTACTGTCTTATGCAACCAAAGCCTCAGCCGCCCCCTGGCCTGAGAGCCACACATCCTTCAGCACACAGATGCCTGTGTTTTTAAGAGGTTGAGTAACATGCCCTGGCTGCCCCTGGTGTGTTCTACATGGAGAGTTAACGTTAGTATATGATGGTTTGCTGTTAGTTGTCCATCAACTGAGCTACCAGAATGTCTTTCTTATGTAGAAGACATTATATCATACCTTTTGTCTTTGTTTGTTCTTACGTCATGTGCCTTGCCCTGTGGGGGATGGGTAGTGCAGATTATGTGAGCATGGAGGCGGTAGGAGCTGCAAACATCCAGCTGACCTGCCGCTCCCTCTGCTCACTCTCACTCTCACCAGCTGAAATGACATTTTGCCACCAGTAAATGTCTGCAGTTTGTGGCCTTTATTCTTTTAGTTACATGACATAAGGTTTATATTTGTTTGTTAGAGTAACAACACTTAAGATTGTACCTACAGGCTGGTGTTGTGTCTCAGAATACCTTTATTTGTCCCACAGAGGGGGAGTGTGTACGTTGTATCTGCCCTCTTAAACAAGTGATATTGTATATGTGATTGTAATTACTTACAAAAATAGGGAAAAACTAAGTAGATTTGATTGGAAATCTCAAAGATCAAATGTGCTCTGACATATTAACCCTGTGTGTGTGCGGATATCTAACCACACACACACACACACACACACACAACATGTTACTTAGATGCGCACAGAGAGCATTGTAATTGAAATGCTATCCCATTAACCGGACCATATCAGGAGGTCTGGCTCACGTTGAGAACAGACCCCAGTTGTGTGTAAATGCGAGAAAATAATCCTCTTAGCATGTTCACCAACCAGCACTCTCAGGGGCCAGCAAGAAGCTGCAGGCTTGCCCTTCACTACCATGGAAAAGTAAAGCTCATGCAGCAGCATTCTTTTTCCTCACATGCAACGCACCACGTTCCTGAAAAGTCGGCCAGTTATGTTCATCCAGTTTACAAAATGAGATTCAACCCAAACTACAGAACAGAGATCCCCAGAACTCTAAATCAGGGCAAGCATAATATCCGGTAATCTGATTTATTTACATTACTTAATAATAATATCAATAGTATGCAGTGTCTTTGATCACAGACTGCTTTTCAGGAACACATATGCTCTAGAGCCAGATGTAACTTCTAATATGATGACACATTCCTTAGTACAAAACCTAAAAGTATACCTTTCCATGAAATTGTAAACATGGCTTTTCCATGGTATTCTGGGCATGATTTGGCCACGGTTTTGAATGGGTCACTACTCAATAAATTGTAAAAGATGAATGTACACCAAAGTACCGAGATGTGCCGAGCTGGGCTAAGATGAAGTAGGCTAAGATGGCTAAGGGCTAAGATGAAGTAGTAGTAGACAAACTATTTATTTGGTTACACATTTGTTTTGATTCAATATCATTAATTTGACTCAGACCCTCACTATTTGCATCAGATATCTTTAAAATCTGGTTTGCAAATTCTCGGAGCCTACACGTGTTTTTTCAATGTGTCCCATATGCATGGAATCAACCCTCAGTGTTCTGCAAGCCTGTATTTAAAAGGTGTTTATTACCAGGGGTGCACATAACTTTTTTGCCCTGGTTCTCAAAGGAGCACCTGGAGATGTTGCTTGGTGCTCATCCTTAACACTAGAACCGCCAGAGGTCGCTGTATACCTAAAACCGCCAACGGGTCAAATGTACCCGCTATTGATTTGCAAGGTACAATGTTCTTTTATTTATCATACAGAACAGTGAGTTTTGATCGCACAGGGATGAGACCTATACCAATAGAATCTGTGGACTCTCAGCTTTTCATGTGATATAGTTTGTGCAGATAGCATGAAGTATAAAATATCGCTAAGAGTGCTGATTTAAACACTTGGTGTTGGACTTGTGTTTTGTTTAGGTACAAATCTCTCTATCTATCTATAACTATCTATCGATCTATCCGTAATGTTCTGTTCTATGTTCATATAATTGTCTACATAAACAGACGACCCGGACTACTTCTCTCATTCCGAGTGTCCATCTTTATTCAACTGGCACGTAACCTGCACACATGCATTACGTCCTCAACGTGAGCTCAGTCATCCAAGATCTTGTATTCTCCAAGATGTTACACTATCTATAACTATCTATCTGTCTATATCTCTCTCTATCCATCTATCAATATATATATCTATCTATCTCTCTATCTAAATCTATCTCTCTATCTATAAGGAACCGCAGTAGACAAAAGGCGTTGCTATAGCAACACGTCATGTTTACGCTGCATTTTCTATGAGGTAAATATTACCCGCTGGCGGATATAGGTAAAAATGGCATTTTTTTTGCCGATTTTTTTTCAATCTGACTTCCTATTGACAATTGTTAACAACAGAGGGTGCTACATAACACACATTCAGGAAAAGTCACGGACTGGGAGACTTTAATATGTTATTGGAAAAAAGTTACATACAATCAAAAAACAGCTGCGGGTAAAATTTACCCATTGGCGGTTCTAGTGTTAAATTGAAATAAATAAACCGGTCTTTATTTGTCAGACACACGGCACAGAACACACAGAGGTGAACACAGAACACACATGCAGAGGTGAACACAGAACACACATGCAGAGGCGAACACAAGACAACATTAGCACGACCAGTAATCCTACAAGCTGTCATCACTACCCTCCTGACTGTTCTCCTCACTG